TAGTACCTCATCCTGTGGTATGGATGTGATGCAATCGTCGAGCACCTGCCAGAACATATTCTTTTCTTTCCTTGCATCCGGTTTACAGAGCGTAGGCGGTGACAATTTAAAGGACTTTTTTACCAGTGTCAATTTTTATATTCATAAGTCGATCTCACTCAAATGTATATATCCTGCTTCTTAAGCTTTCTGAGACAGCTATACCTACTCCATTGCGACTGCTGCTTGTGCCATCGTAGAGAAGCTTATAGCCATCTCCGATATCGCGTGATTTTCTACCCTTCCATTTTGATTCCTGTATGCAGGTTATATCCACTCGCCGTCCTCTCAGGAGATCCGCCAATTCTCGATAATGTCCAGTGAGTTCCGACGATGGTAGCTAATCGGAGTACTTTTGAGTTTTCGGATAGCTGCTTCAAAGAGCTAGTCTTAGCCGTCTCCTCTCTTTGTAAGATGGTGACCCTAGTCCATCAATCGCACCCGTCGGGCTCTGCGCATCGCTTCAGGGGGAGGCTCTAGCTTTTACTCGACATACTTCATTGGACATTAATTCATTTTAATGCGACGGGGTGTTTCTCAGCCGGCTTGCCGCGCACCCTGAGGGTAAGCTTGACGCTGGAATCGCAGGCAGGAGTTATGTCCCAAAGAGGCATCAAACCCCTGACCTCACCGAAATGAGATCCTCGAAACGTAGAGCACTACTCGACTAACTTTGCATCACCTGGCAACAAAATGGATGCAAGAAATGCTCAAGTTTGCTTCAACTTAGTATTAATGAATTCTTCGTGTAGGAGAGAGGTATCCTCAAAAGATTTTGCCAGGCATCTTTTTTTGCACTTAAGTTTGCAATCTTCTTTCACAATGAGAAAAGCGAAGACGACTATTAGCTTCGGATATCCATTAAGGGTACGTGACTTTACCATAATCTGATGTAAAAAAGACTATAAATTGCCTTGTGAAACTATCTATTTTCTTTTTCGTACCTACTAACGTCAGACTAACCAAATAAGTTCGAAAAAAGAACATTGTCTAGCTGAACATTAAGAAAAAATTAAGAAACTAACATGTTACTGTGGAAATCCGTCTGAATATTTATTTACGGAGAGTTGGGGAACAAAGAGATAAAAAATAGTTCTTGATGAAAAGAGTAAAACCATGTTTCTAATATAAGATGTTGGCTACAAGAACTTTAATTCTAAGAAATAAAATATGCTAAGTCTTTATTGACTGATTGAATGCGTGCATCATGGCACATAATCGATAAAATCAACACATATCATTAACTTCAACTTATGTACAAACACATTAAGGAAAGTTACGGACCCGAAAGTGCGCCTACTTCGTCTTCTTATCTTTTTCTTCGTTGAATAAGGTATTCCACAAACATCTGGTTGCAAACCTGAAAGCATAGTTGCTAATAATTGAAAAGCACCGGACAGTAGCGATTAGAGTAAATTTCTTTGCAATGGGCGCAAAATAAATAGGTCAAAAAGGGGCTAGGCGTTGGAGGAGGAAGAGGAGGAGGATCAAACCAACCTCCTTACGAAATGAGCAGAAAATAATGTAACAGAATTTATCATTGAAAATTTTTTAGATTATTGAGTTAAACTGCACCATTTGCTCACCTCATTGTACCAAAGTTTATCATATTCTCACCCTATACTCGACCTGATATCTGTTTTGGCCCTTTCGGAGGAATGAACTTACTCTCCATCTTTTCCATTATTGTTATCTAATTATCCTCAAGCTCCATAATATCACTTACCTTGGGAAAATCGCAATCACTGTCGCGATCACACTGAACAACCAAAAATCGACGGTCATCATAGCTTGAAGCGGAACAAGTACGGGTGCGTTGTGGATCCATTCTTAAGCGAAGTGTTTTTTTTTAATATCAGAAGGATGTTTTTCAACATATGGCAGCCAAATGCACTCACGTGGTTGTACTACATATCCATATATAATAAAGTAAGCATAATGAAGTCCGATGAAAAATATGAAAATTACGGCCACTGGAAGTGTCTGAAAGTCGGTGGTTCAAGATAGTTAAGAGCTGCCGATAAAAATTATAAGGAAACTTCAAAGAAAACGTTGCAAATCCATCACATTCAGTATTTATGAAAAACCAATAGCTTCTGAATTGGCATCGTTCATTTATTTCTGACTGGTGGTCATAGATACACAGTATTCTGGTTGCTTAGCCGGATTATGAAAAACTACCTAATCAAATGTTGCAAGTGGCTTTGAAGTTATGAAGCCAGCTAAGCTCAACCAAAAAAGGTGCAAACAT